CGATGGTTTCGAAACGAACAGCTCGTAACGTTTTATCTGCTTCGTCCTGTGTACACGTATGTTGTATGATGTGTAACATGTGTTATTTCACGGTAAACGGATGATGTTAAATTATTTATGAATCGTTGTCGATATCGATGAGTGGTAATGGTGATTGTAACGTTTTTTTATTATATCGTTAGTTTTTAATACGCGTACAAACAATGTACATATATCTATGTATATCTATCCATACGGATATCACAATATCGCGTATGTGTGTACGTATCGTTACTTTTATGTAGTATCGCGTCAAGTACGTTCCAAGAACTGTCTTCCGAACAACGCGAATAAAAACCATTTATTTATTGAAATTGATAACTGTAAAATAATTTACGTTTGAAAGTTTATCTTATTTTGAATTTACGACAAGATTCGAGTCTCTCGTTATTTTCTTTGTTCGGGAACTCTGAATTTTTTGCACGTTGCAAGCTTGTTGCGCTTTTCGTCCATTTCTTTTTCATGACCCGTTCCTTCGATTCCTGTAATTTTCGCTTAGGTACGTTCTCAAATGCTTCGTCCCAATTGTTGGTATGTCTTAGATCCAACATGATGGAAAGAACTTGGTTTAAAGGAAGATTTTTCGAAGATCCTGTTCCCCAATTCAATAATTCGTTCAAAGGAAACTTCATCGTCTTGATACCTTCCCTCCTGGCTTTCTGATATGAAATTGGTAGAGCGTGTCTCTGAAAATATCTTGTATCGTTATTATTGTTACCATTGCGTTGTATTATTTTTATATCAATAAACACGAATAAATGTACGTATAATTTAAATTTATAATTAATTTTTATTTCGTTGTTGTTACTCTCCGTGTGTGTTTGTACGAGAAACTGATAAATGTTTGAGCTACGAGCTACGTAAGAGTGACAAAAATAATTACCTTGTCTACTATCGCTCCGATTATATATACCAGCTCGGGATTATAGCGTGTCATGACTTCGTTGGAATGAGGACTAAGGTATACTAATTTCTTCTTGTCGAATATTTCCAAATAGGATTTTGAAGTGATGTTCAATGGAAATTCCAGATTGTACATACTTGGTACTGTTTTGTGTAATTTTTTCATAAGATCGCCGTTTTTATCGGCGTTGCAAAAATATAGATTGAAGGGATCGACGTGTTGCCGATTTGTCGAGAATGAGATCAACAGCTGTTTCGCGCAATTCGATACCTCGGGTTGAGACATTTGTTCTTCGAAACCAAGATCGAATACTAATGCCGGCTCGTGCAACATAGCGCTTATCAGTCTGCCGTTGTAAAAATTATTCATCGTCGTTTCAACTATGCGATGAAATAACGTGCATTTACCCAATCCGTATACCCTCCTATCTTCGTCGTCTGCTCTTTCGTTTTCTTTTCTTTCAGCTTTCGCTTTGGATTTCTGCTTTTGATTTTCTTCTTTCTTTTCTATTTTGAAAAGAAAATTTATGTAAGATCTAGATATTTGCAAAATATATAAGACGAGATTAAAATGTGAATAAACTTTGTAATGATTGTGATAATTTTCATTTTAAAATTGAAGATATTACCTTTTTTCTCCTTTTGTTGTTGTTTTCAATAGATATAACCAATTTGCCGCGGTTAATTTTGAAGGTACTTTTCCCGTTTCATACTTTGTGTACTCTATCTCTAAACTCAAAGTATCGTACAAAGCTTTGTATTTCGGATCTTTCAGCAGATCGTTTAATTTCTCTTCGTCTAATTTTTCGTAGTGTTTACTCACCGAGTACGTGCTAGAGCTATAACCTCGTGTTGTTGGTACGTGCGTTTGTACGAGATATCTGAATCGTGATACTGTGAATTTACGAACTGGTTGAACGAAAATGTTCGAATGAAATTTAGTTGCGACAGTGATAAAATTTGAAGAGAGTCTGGTACACATTTTTGAAAGTTATGCTATATCTTTACGATCACCCTGTACCCCGTACACCGCACTCGCGTTCGAGGCTGCAGTGATTCGAATGTACAAAAGTTACTACGTAGCGAGTACGGTACCGTGGATAAAGCGCAAAATAACCCTATCGTTGTAACTGCGCGTTGCCGTTGTCTCGTTTCCAAGGATATGAGGATTTGACAAAACTAGATGATGTTGGATGTAAAAGGATCGAAGAAACGTTATCGAAGCCGTAGATCCCAAATATCTTGTAATCGTGAATGTAGCGTAAAAACTTTATGGTAACTACGGTACTCGTGTTAGAATACGACGATATATTTTTATATTTGGTTTGGTCGATGTTTGATTTCGTTCTACGTCTTCGTATCTGCTGTGTTTTAAATCGCAGAAATCAGAATTATCGTTGTACGTTGAACGATTGTTTGAACGTTTGATATTTGATTGACGGAGATTTCTAAATCCTGCGTTGAAAGTTTGTAAATATTTTTTGTAAAGATAAAGATTCAAGTTTGAAATTGAATGTAAATGAACGGACGATAAACGGACGAAATTGATCGTTAGATCGATCGATATTTATGTACGAAAAGTGTCGTATAAATTGACTTGAAAGTATCGAGTTGAAGTTTTTTTGTATTTTCTGAGCATACTTCAAATTGTACGATCAACGACGCTCTTGTTGTCAGTCGCGTTTCCTTGTTGTCTACGCGTTTACCTGGATATACCCGATTTACCGAACGAAATTGAAATAGTGATTAATAATTTAAAGATACTTTGTAAATGTTAAAATGGTCTTGTTGGGTGAAACGTTTCCAAATTTTATAGCTGATACGCAAATGGGTCCGATTAATTTTCACGAATGGCTAGCTGATTCGTAAGACACTTTTACGACATAACCTTTAATATTTTTCTGTTACATTTTTTAATATATATTTTTTAATGATACAGTGATATATACTGACGTGTATGTGCACGTGTGTTGTACACGTTATTCGCTATTCGTTTTGCGTCATTCGTGTCGCGAACGTAAAACGTTTTCTCGAAACGTAAAATTTTATTGAAATTACAAAAGATCAATTCACGTTTCGTACAGATGGGGGATTTTATTTTCTCATCCGAGTGACTTTACGCCGGTGTGTACAACGGAATTGGCTCGTGTGTTAAAATTGATGCCAGAATTTGAAAAGCTCGGCGTGAAAGTTATCGCGCTATCTTGTAATTCGGTAGATTCCCATCGAAAATGGATAGAAGTACGTTTCTCCGTACGTTGTCTTCCTATTCGGGATATGTACTACCCCGATGGAAAGAAAAAAGAAGGCAATATTGAAAAGACACGATCGTTTTTTAGGATATAAAGGCTTACGCCGAAATGACCGATAAGGAATTTCCGTACCCGATAGTGGAGGACGAAACGCGAAAACTCGCCACTTTATTGGGAATGTTGGATCCTGCGGAAGTCGATGATCATGGTATACCAATGACTGCCAGAGCGGTATTCGTCGTTGATCCTGCTAAAAAGATGCGATTGTCAATCTTATATCCCGCAACCACTGGAAGAAATTTCGAGTAATTTCATTTTTAAGTTTTTAAAATTCAAAATTTTTTTTATTGTTATTATCGTTATTGTTATATTTATTAACGTAACGTTTTAACACAGTGAAATTTTGCGTGTTATCGAATCGTTGCAATTAACTGAGAAGCATAAAGTAGCAACTCCGGTTGATTGGAAGGTTTGTATTTGATTCACCTTGTTTGTTAACAAATTGAAACATCTGCGAAAGATTGTTAACTTTGCGTCGTGATTTTTAGACGGGTGATCGGGTGATGATTCAGCCTACGGTTTCTGACGAGGAAGCAAAAACGCTGTACAACGATGTTAAAACTGTGCCGTTACCATCGGGCAAACCTTACTTGCGTGTCGTGTCGCAACCGCTGTGAGAGATAATACTTGCAAGACGAGAATCCATTGCTTCGCGATATATTCTTTTAAAGATCGATGTTTGTAAAAACATTAAAATACACGTTCGATGTTAAATTGTATTAAATTCTTTTCACAATGTCGCCCCACTGTCATTTCGTGAGATACAATTTACGAATAAGCGTATCTTTTTAGTGCCTTAACATCGATATGTGGCAGTTTGTGAAGATTTCAAAGAAAATGTGATAAAAATGAACAATTTTTATTTAAAATTCCTCGTCGATTCTCATCGATGAAACGATAAAAATAATTAGAAACAATTCGCTGAAATATACTTGAAACGTTTTATACTTTTAGATTTAAATCGTATCCACGCACGTTCTCCACTGATTTCGATATCGATACAATTCAAAACTTATTCTCCTATAAGGCTGTTCGTTGATAAAGGTGTGATGTACGTCATTGTTGTCAAAAACAAAGATTCTAATGTTGGCATTTGCAAACAACAAAAAAAGCTGTTTATTGTATCACCTAATGTAATTAAAAGTACACTGTGTTATATACATTTCTCCAAGTACACGATCGCTTATAGTCTCTAAGCATAATGTATATAATATTTACACTGTTTTTTTTTTTTTTTATTAAGTTATTACTAAATTTACTTTGCTACGTTATGATTATATCTTATGTTTAAATGATCCGCAAATTGTTGCGCGACTACGCGATAGTGTGATAGCAATTATATAAAACAGTCCCTCGTCAAAACCAATAAAGATCGTAAAGAATAATAAATTTAACAAAATTATACTTTGTTATTGTAATGTTATATAATTAAAAGTTAATTACCACACGATATATCGGATAATAAAATACTATTTGCAGCCTTCGTACTTAACAGCTTCAATGTTATACATTCACGATGATAGCAATGGTAATGTGTACATGGTTTACTTGTATCCGTCCCCCCTTCGTATCTCCGTATAAACTGGAAGGAAAAATCAAATTTTATAAATG